CTCTCTCTCTCTCTCTCTCTCTCTCTCTCTCTCTTTCTCTCTTTCTCTCTCGCTCTCTCTCTCTCTCTGCACACAGACACAATACACATCCATACACGTCACATACATATAATTTGGGAAGTATACACTCCAGAGAACATATCAAACAAGCAAGCAGAAATACTCAAATGAGTGAAAGACAGATTGGGAAACATTTTGGACAATTTGTTACAAAGAAATGTACATATGTACATATATACACACCTGCTCTAACTACTTTTCTTGCACAATTTTTTTACCAGTGTTCAATACATGGGACACGAGAGAGGGGTAAACATGAGATGGGGCTGTGGTGAGTAGTGGAGGAGTAGCGGGGAGCACAACGTCAAGCTGCTTCCTTGTTGGCCTAAGTCATTTTTTACACTTTGGAGATAATTGAAAAAAAACCTCTCTCAGTAAGTGAAAATGCACTTTTATAGGCCAAATTTCCAGAGCCAATTAACTTACCGTTCCTCATTAGTAATATTCCAATAAAAATCGAAATTATGGGATGTGACTGACATAGGCCAATTCATGACTGTGGCCTCTGACTTAGGCCGTTTTGCAAAACGGCTTGAGCCTTTTCGTGACTGTTGTCTCTGATTTAGGCCGTTTTGCAAAATGAGTTGAGACATTTTTTTTTTCTTTTTAAGTTTTTCAATTCTGAATGACTTAAGCTATTTTGAAAAGAATTTGACTGAAGTGGACAGTTAGATCCAAGACTGAGGGTATCAAACTTGCCCAGGTGTTGGCCTAAGTCTGACTTAGGCTAAAAGGCGAATTGGCCTATGTCAAACTTAGGTCAAATTACACGGGGAAATCAATGCTATTTTTGACTAATGTCAAATGTTTGGAGTTTATTTTATTTGAAATGATATATTTTTTATTTTACAACACTATATTCAGCAGATGGCAAGGAGTCCAGTGGTTCATCAGTTGCATTTTGGTGTAAGTCTGACTTAAGCCAAAAAGAGAGCAGCTTGACGACTAGTCAAATAACCCGCTCTTCTTATATTTTCTTAGACAACATATTGACCAGAGTCCAATGCATGGGATAAAGGAGAGGGGAGAGAAGGCGGGTGGGGCAGAAAAGGGAGAGGAAAGCAGACGACAGAAC